TTATTAGGTTCTCAGTTAGAGGCAGATTTTAGGAAGCTTTGAGTCCATCTATGGCTTAACCCAAACTGCACAGGGCTGATCCTGGTCAAGTCTCAGACTAAGTACCAGAAGCCACCAGATCTCAAAGACAGCAAATGGAACATGGATTGGAGGAGCACTGGCGAGCTGCCCAGGGTGTTAAGCAGAATGTAAAATGCTATGCCACCAAAGGGGAGTGAGGGTCAGCAAGTCTTCATCCTACTAGAGCATAAATCAGCCCTCATGAAAATGTCATTAAGTGCTACGGAAAGTCCCCACTTAGAGAGGACTTCCACATGTGGGGGTCAAGAATTGAAAACCATGTCTTTACTCCTGAGCTAATTTCAGTTATGGCCCTGTGCAGTGGGGGGGGGGGGAAGAGAAAGAGGAAAAGGGTGACAGAGAGGAGAAACAGAGAGACAGAGACAGAAAGACAAAGAGAGACAGAGACAGAAAAAGACAAAAACAGAGAGAGAGACAGACTGAGAGGAGAGGGAGAGAGGGAGAGAGAGAGAGAGAGAGAGAGAGAGAGAGAGAGAGAGAGAGAGAGAGAGAGAGAGAGAGAGAGAGATACTGAGGAGGGGGAGGGAGGGAGGGAGGGAGAGAGAGAGAGAGAGAGAGAGAGAGAGAGAGAGAGAGAGAGAGAGAGAGAGCGAGCGCATTTGGGTTTGACTTTGAATCCGGACAATGTTACTGCCTCTGCAACCCCCACTGCCACCCTTTTCTCTTCTGTAAAATAAATGGGTGAGATCATATCATACCTTTCAAGCTGGAAAGAACCAAAGAATGTTCCCAGGCTGTCTGTCCCTCACATTTAGAATTCTCATCCCCAGCTCTTGGCTTCCTTGAAGCCCTGGCTAAAATCCCACCTTCTTCATGACACTTTTCCCTCTCTCCCTTAAGCAAGTGCCCTCCCTCTGTGATTATCTCCACTAAACCCTGTATATGATCTTGAATGCACAGAACTGCTTGCATGTGGCCTCCCCCATCAGACTATGAGCTCCTCAAGGGCTCTTTGTACCCCCAACATAAGCACAGGGCCTGGCACACAGTGAGCACTTAATAAATGCTTGCTGACTTGGTATTTTACAGATGGGGAAACTGAGGCCCAGGGAAATGAGGTAGTCAAGGTCATAGAGGTGGAGACAAAACTGGCCCCTTGGATGGTGCTTCAGCCCTTTTTCCTCTGCACCATGTCTCTCTCTCTTTGTCTGTCTCTCTGTCTGTCTCTCTGCCTCTGTCTGTCTTTTGTCTGTCTCTCTGTCTGTCTCTTTGTCTGTCTCTCTGTCTCTGTTTCCCCCCTCTCTCACCCTTTCCCTCCTTCTCTTCCCCTCCTCCCCACTGCACAGGATCACAACTGAAATTGCCTCAACAGTAAAGACATAGTTTTCAATTCTCGGCCTAGAGATACAGAAGTCCTTTCCAACCCTTTTTCTATCGTAGACACCTTTGGCTGCAGTCCGGTAAAGCCAAAGGACCCTATCCCAGAACCGTGTTTGCTGCCTGTATTCATACATGAAGAAAACGCTCAATTTCAGCGAGAGGTTAGTGAAAATAAGGGTGTTTGCAGAGATCCTGAAATCTATCCACAGACCCCTGGAGTCATCTATGGACTGCTGGTGACCTCTAGAGTCTTAGCGCTCTGATCTGACAGGCAGGCAGGCAACACAGTGAATAGAGGACAGACTGGGAGTCAGGAAGACCTGGGTTCAAATCCCAGACATTCACTAGCTGTATAAGCTCAGACACGTCATTTAGTCTCTCAGCCTCAGTTTCCTTATCTGTAAAAGTAAGATAATACTAGCACTTAATATCTGGGGTGGTTGTGAGGCCCAGGGAGATCTATGTCCAGTGTTTTGTAAACCTTAGAGCACAACACAAATGCTGGCCATGATGATGATGACGTATCATCTCTCCTACCAGACCACCATCTCCTGCAGGGCAAAGTCCCTCTTGTTTCCTCTGAATCTCCTCCCACATCTAACATGGTGGACAGCACATCGGAGTGATGGCTAAGCACAGGCAGGACAGCAGAGAGGCAGGGGAGTGACGTGAGAGCATTCGAAGGTTGGCTTGATTCTGCCTCTGCCGTGTGCTGGCTAGGGACTGATGGTGAGTCACCCAGGCTCGGTAGCTAGGGAAGCTCCCTACCCGCTGAAGGTTGTGGCTAGGGAAGCACCCTTGCTGGGAACTCCCTTTACCACTGGTTTCCAAAACCGGAGCTGCCTGAAGGGGGTCATGTTGACTCATCAAGGAATGTGTTATCAGCCAGTTAAATGCTGGGTCAAATGCTACCTTCATTAGAATGCCCAGTCATATGGCCATCTCCAATACAATACAACATAGCCTTATGTTCTAACAGTCCTCCCCTCCACCCTGCTGAGCTAATGTTGCCCCCTTCCCCAGCTACTCCTGCCCCTGGCTCTTACCCACACAAAGGAGTACCTGTGCAGGTCACATGGGGAAAATTTCCTCTCCCCTCCACCTCCTAGCACCCAAACCACCTTTGCTGCAGGTGTCCTTGAAGGGGGGCTCCGTGCTTGGACAGTGACCAATGAATAAGAGTCCCACATCCCCCCCTTTTCACTTTAAGTGGGACAGAGTAAATCCAAAAGACAAGTGGACATGGATAGATCACGATCTGCACTTCAGAGTGCATTACATGATCTTTCTCCCCAAACTCTTCCCTGTTTGTGGCGAAAGAACCATCATCCATACATAGGCTAGCTATCATGGAGTGAGTCCACATCTCCAGTCAGGTGCCAGATCCTATCGGTTCTCCATCCTCATCGCTCCCCTCTGACGACTTCGTTCCTTATCACTTCCCCGGCCACCGCAATGGATTCCTCATAGGACATCCAGCCTCTCTCCCCTTCCTAGCCCATCTTCCACACAGCGGCCATAGTGATTTTCTGAAAGCTCAGCTCTGACCATGCTATCCCCACACTCAATAAATTCTAAGAGCTGCCTACTGACAATCAGATTAAGTGGCATTTTATCTCTTTAAAATTTCATTTTTATACAAGTTTTATAATGTGCATGATTATTAGTATACCAATATTACTTGTATATGTACTATTATCTATTAGTACTATGTTACTAGTGATTAGCAAATTATTAGTAAATATTAGATATATTAGCAGATATACATATAGTGAGGAGCATGCAAAAATTTTTCCTAGATAGAGGTGTGCAATAAAAAAATGTTTGGACACTAATGCCTAACACCAATGGAATAATAATAAAAATAATAGGAGCTATTATTTATACTACAGCACTTTGGGTACAATAGGTTTGTTAAGCACTTTACAGCTGGTGGTGATGCGGTAAGCAGAATGCTGGGCCTGGAGTCAGTAATTCCTGAGTCCAAATCCTACCTCAGACACTTACTAGCTGTGTGACCCTAGGCAGTCACTTCACCCTGTTTGCCTCAGTTTCCCCATCTGTAAAATGAGCTGGAAAAGGAAATGGCCATCCACTCCAGTATCTTTGTCAAGAAAACCTCCAATGGAGCCATGAAGAGTCAGACATGACTGAACACCACCAACAACAGGGTTGCTGTGAGGATCAAATGAAATAGTCATTTTAAAGCCCTTAGCACAGCTCCTGGTACTACGTAAATGTTGGCCATTATCATTATTACCAACACCACCAGTAGCACCATCACCATGACTACTACTCCTACTCCTCCTACTCCTACTTTACTATGTGTATTATCTTGTTTGATTCTCATAGAAACCTTGGGAGGTAAGTGCTATTATTATCTCTGTTGTAGAAATGAGGCAATAGTCTGAGAGAGGCTAAGTCACTGGCCCCCAGAACACAACCAGTAAATGTCTGAGGCAGGATTTGAATTCGGGTCTCACTGTCTCACATGTCCAGTACTCAATCTGCTATTCCATCGAGCAGCCTCAGAATCAATGGTCCAGTTACAAACCCATAACTCTAGGTCTCTGTTCCTACTGACAACGGTTCTTGCTGGGTCTGCGGTCCCCACCAGGTAAGAGGGGGCTCAGTCTCTCCCACCTCTCTTGGTGTCTTCCACCCCAAGCCTGGGCCCTCTCAGACCACCCCTGCCTCTCTTGGCCTCAGTTTACTCATCCTGAAGAGGAAGAATCTGAATTAAATGACCTCAAAGTTCCTTTTCGCTCTAAATCTACAATTCTGTGACTTAGCGTTTAGAAACTAGTTTTGGATAAAGCTATGTATCCAAGATGGTTAACTCTAGTTACACACCAACAACTGGGGTGTGGCTGCTGTTCTTTACATTTTTATTTTATGTACTGCTGCAAAAGAGAACTTTAGCAACAGCAAACAGCCCCATGAATCCAGAATTGAAAAAGTCCAGAATTCACTTACCTTTATCTTCAGAGGAAAGGTTAGAGGACCTCAGATACCCTGTTTTGTTTTCTTTAATTATATCATAATAATTTCTTTAATTTAATATTTCTTTAAAATAATTTTTTTTCCTGGATTTGGAGCTAGAAAGATCTGCTTTGGACACTTAGGAACTGTGTGACCTTGGACAAGTCATTCACCTTTCTGATGAAATTCCAGGGTCCTCACTGGTAAAGTGGGGATGATACTACTCATACATATTTTCTGGGGCTGCTATAATGGCCAATAAAGATAACACATGCGAAGTGTTTTGGTAAACCTTGCAAGTGCAAGGTACGTTTGTCTACTATTACCATTCTCTCTAGTTCTACTTCAATAATCTATTTTCTGCTGTCGCTGTTTGATGTCTGACATCACCGAAAATCACTGAGTTTTGAAGGGAAGGGAAGGCCCCCTAGGAGAGAGGGATAAATCTGGAAATGATGGGGATGTAAGGCCAAGATGTGTCAACAAAATCCATTTTTTAAAAAGCCAAGAATAATAAGTTAATAATAAATAAATGATGAATAAAGGATGTCTTTTGTAAAAAAAAAAAAGAAAACAAAACAAAACAAAAGAAATCCACAAGGCACCCAATCGCTCACCAGCTCTTTTAATCCTCTTCCTTTCCTTCAGTTGGTACGGCTTGTGATCGTGAGATAGGGGGATGGCATTCCCATCCTTGTCACAGAGGACCCCCCTGGAGTCGCCAACGTTGGCCACAGTGAGATCTTTGTCTGACAAGAGGGCAATCAAACACGTCGTACCTGGAAGACAAGAGGAAGGGCACGTGAGGCAGCAGCACCAGGAGGGAGGAGGAGGAGAAGGCATGCAAGGCATCATAAGGAAGGTCTTCTGCTCAAGCCTGCTTCGTGGAACTCATCAGCTCTGACAGTCAGCCTTCCCCAGACACTGCAGAGCTGGACCAGAAGGAGCTTGGATCCCCCCGCCGGGTCCTCTCCAAGCTGGGTGGCCTTAGATCCTTCCCACACCGCAGCTTGTGCCCGAGCCTTGGGGCTCACAAAGGAGCCAAAATCAGTGTGCAAAGGAATCCGTACTGCTAGGGGTCGATACATGGTACCTGCCTCTTTCTCCAGAGGTAAACAGCTTCACTGATAATCTGTGAACACCTACTAAAAGCCTGGCCTTAAGCTCCTGTGCCAACAGAGCCTTCCGTGATCACATTATTCATTACTTTGCCTCTGTTAGAATCTGGCTCTCCATTAAGAGGGATGAATGTTGGGAAAGTCTAACCTCCTGACTGCCTCTGCTACTGAGATGAAAAAACTGTCATCACGTTCCCACCAGGGAATTCCAGAATGTGCATATGTCACCACCAAAGGAATCCGTGCAGACAAATGTCAAAACCAAGGAAGGACGAGTGTGTTCAAGAATGGGCTTCTGTTTGCACTTCTGTTTTCAAGGGGTAACTGCTTAGACTCTTCTACCTTGGTCTGAATTGGTGGCATGTGATGTGTCTGCTGAGTGTGGATCCTACCCTCTAGGGGCGAGCTGATTGTTAAATTTGCAGTGAGCCCATACTCCTCAGAAACCCTGCAAACCTAGGCTTAATTTATTGTTCTTCTATCTTGGGCAGGACCCCAGCCAACTAGGAGACCTCATTTCTGGATAGACGGTAAACCGAATCCAATCTGGGTGAATTCTTGCCCTTGGGGAATAAGCCCATGCCCTTGTACCCCTCCACTGGAGTTCAAAGCCACCGGGCTCATCAAGGAGAAAACCAACCAGAGTGGTCTGGGGGGAGATGCCTTCCTCTGTCCAGAGTGCTGGAGGCCGCTGAGCCTCATGATCAAGCCAAGTTCTCAGCAGGAGGAGCCTCCTCATTTAAATGCCCATCTCCCCCACTAACTGTTCACAATCAGAATTAATTTCTCCTATCAGGGCATTCCCTTTCAAAAAAATATTTAAGGCTTTTAGTATCTCCATTAGGTGTCTTTGGTCACCAAGAGAAACCAATGACCATCAATTTATTGATTATTAGCTAACCTAATTGATAAATTGATTATTAATTACCCAGATACTCTCTTGTGTTTTTCATTCATCACAGGCTCAGTTTCCTCATCTGTAAAATGCTTTTTCTTCCCATAATCAAAGAATTGGGAGGTAGAGGGTCTTTGATCTTCTATTTTTTTTCCCTCTTCTATAATTATGTTTTCCCATCCAGTTCAAAATTCCCTAGAATATCCAAGGGTCATTTCATCGTTGACTCTGTATTCTCAGGGATTATTAGCACACTGCTTTGCAGAGCAGCCACTTAGTACAAGTTAACACAGTTGGATAGGAATGGAGAACGGGAACTTCAAAAATGTAAATTCTTATTTTCCCGAGGCGTTTTGTGACCCGATGAGAAGTGTCTGATGTGAGCCCGCTGTAGCCAGGGAACCCTGCTCAGCCTGCATTTCCTCATTGCCAAACAGAGATAACCTCGTCTGCTACACCACCCCTGCTCACAGTGACAGTGAGGAGAGCCCTCCGTAAATGTTCCAGTTTTATACAGACGTGAATTACTGAGGATGCCGATGACGTGTGATGGGCACAACACTCTTCCCTCTGAGTAGCCCGGTAGGCTGAATACAAGAATTCCGCGGCCAGAACTGTTCCCTAGCCTTACTTTGGCATCATTGTGATAGGGACATGCCCTCCCTATTGATCTCATATTTATCCTTTTTTAAAAAAAAGTTTCTTTTTTCTTAAAAATGTTTTTATTGATATATTTTGCTTATAAATCTTCCTTGCTCTCCAATGCAAGCCATGCCTTTTTTTTAGAAGGAAAAAAAATCACTTCAGCCAAAGCAGCTAACTGATCATTAGCTGTATCTGGCAGTGTATGCAATATTCCACACCAGAAGCTCCCCACCTCTGCAAAGAAGGGAGGACCATTTTTCAGCTCTTCTCCGGGTTCAAGTTTGATCATCATGATTGCATGGCCCTCAGTTTTGTATTTTAAATGTTTTTTTTCCTTTTTCTCAAAGTCATCCATGCCCTATGATCTGGCAGCCTTGCGTAAGATTTAGCTGAAATGCTCTTCTCAAAATATTTTGTGGCATGGACCCAAGCATGGACAGGAAAGGAACAGTAATAGCTCTTTCGTGTAGGTACCTTATTTTGGGGAGTTCCTTCTGATCCTGGCACTGCATTATGAGCCTGGAGCTCCCAGAGCTATTTTAAATCTTGTTCCCAGTCTCATTTCACTGGGAAAACTGCCCTGTTGCTGAGAAGATTCTCTGGAGCCACCCTCTCCTGCCTAGGGGAGAAGAAGAATCTTGATTTTCCACCAAATGTAGGCCAGGGATCTCAAGGCCCAGCACAATTCCAGAACAACCAAAGACCAAAGGGAGGATAGGTGAAAGGACCAGGGATCTCCAAAGGCTGGTGAGGCTTCTTTAAGAGCCATGAATGCGTGGCACCTCAGGGGCCACACAGCTAGATCAGCTGAATGCTGTGGATGTCAGTGGATGTGATGATGATAATGAATTTAAATGGCATTTCGAGGTTTGCGAACCGCTCTGCAAATGGCATCATATTTGAACCTCATGATGACCCCATGGGGCTGGGTTATTACGATTCCCATTTTACAGATGAGGAAACTGAGGCAAACAGAAGTGAAGTGACTTGCCCAGGGTCACATAGCCAGAATGTGCCTGAGGCTGGATTTGAACTCAGGCCTTCCTGACTCTAGGCTCAGGGCTCTCTCCATGGCACCACCCAGTGACCTAGAGTAGTTTATCTAGATGTTAGCCCAGCAGTGGACAAATCTTCTCATGCTCTCTTCTTGACAAGACTAAGAGATGTGAGCCAGCCGGCAGGATGACTGGCAGAGCTTAGAATGGTTTAAATGGCTGGGTCCAAAGAGAAGTCATTAATGTGTCATTGACTTGAAGCTGGAAGGGCCCTCTGAGGTTACCAAGCCTGTCTCCCTCACAGAGGTGCAGTGTCTTGCCCAGCATCTGTCCTACCCATAAATGGCAGAGCTGAAATCTGAACCCAGGACAACTTCTCTGCTCTATGCCATCTTGGGATTAATGTCACCCTGAAAAAGTGTCTCTGAGGAAGAGTCCTGGAGAATCTGGCTTTGGATCCTGGACCAGGGAACATTCTTAACAGGGCCTTGTAAAAGGAATAACATCGTGTACATCTAAGGGTTAGAGGACAAAATGCGAAAACGCAAATTTCCTGAAGCATTCGAAAAGGTCTACATGGGCCACATACAGAGCGCATTGGGCTGAAACTAATTAAATGAAATCTTGGGCTACATTAAGGCAGGCACGGTCCTCCTGTACTCTGCTCTGATCAGGGTTAGTGTGGACGACTGTGTGCCATGGGGGGCACACAACAGGGGAAGGTGGCTTATCAGCAGTGTCCAGAGGTGTCTGGAGGATGGAGGACAGATGGACAGATGAGGACCTCAACATTCTAATATGAAGGGCTGCTGGAGAAACTAGAGAGCCCCAAAACATGATACTGTCCTTCCTTCTTTCCTCTTCCTCTTCTCTCTCCTTCCTTCCCTGTCTCTCTCTCTCTCTCCTTCCTTCCCTCTGTCTCTCTCTCTCTCTCTCTCCCTCTTTCTTCCTCCTCTCTCTCTCTCTCCTTTTTTCCCTCTCTCTCTCCCTCTTTCCCTCTTTCCTCCTCTCTCTTTCCTTCCTTCCCTCTCTCTCTCCCTCTTTCCCTTTTTCCTCCTCTCTCTCTTTCTTCCCTCTCTCTCTCCTTCTTTCCCTCTTTCCTCCTCCTCTCTCTCTCTTTTTTCCCTCTCTCTCTCCCTCTTTCCCTCTTTCCTCCTCCTCTCTCTCTTTCCTTCCTTCCCTCTCTCTCCCTCCCTCCCTCTCTCTCTCTCTCCCCATATCTTTGTCTCTGTCTCTCTCCTTCTTCTTCTCCTCCTCCTCCTCCTTCTCCTCCCCCCTCCACCACCCCTTCATGTAACTTGGAAGAAGGAATAGTCTTATTTTGTTTTGTTTGGCCACAAAAGGCAGAAATAGGATGAATGAATGGAAAAAAAAAATTTCATCACACAACTGCACACAAGCGAATGGAGCCGCTTCAGAGATGGTGGTCACTCTAGGGGAGGTCGCCTAGCAAAGGTCAGATGGTCACTCAACAGGCATGTTGCTGAGCAGCTTCATGGTTAGGTGTGAGCTGGACCAGACAGCCTTTGTGCTCCCTGGTGTCTCGGGGACTCTGTGATTTGGTGATCTCTCTTTCTGAAGTGACAAGCCCAGCAAGGAAGAATACAGAACTGGGATCAGTGAAAACAGATTTGGGCGAGGGTCGGGCAGGGTGTCTTCCTTGCCTCAGCTGCTAAAGCCCTGATCCTTCTGCTCAAACATGGAAGCATCTTGTCTACCAAGAGGGAATGTTCCACGTGTCCCAGCAGTAATAGCATCTGAAATCCTCATCAGCGGCTGATGTTGGGTATTTCTGGGGAACACTCAAGTTTCTGTGGTGTTCTTTCTAACAGTCTCCAGCTCCAGACTGTACATATCAGGGAAAATACACAGACGGATAGCTTGGAAGAGGTCTCATCCAATTTCCACACACAAAGTGCCCTCCCTTTGTCTTGACCTTCACTGGGTATATGCCTAGTGCTGCTATGGCCAGAAAAATGTCTAAATTTAGGGGCATGATTATAAATTTAACTGCTAGCATGCCCCTTCCCCCCATTTTACAAATAAGGTAGCGGAGGCTGAGAAGGCAAGAGAAGAAGCCAAGGTCACACAAGCAGTGAGATTTTAATCTAAGGCCTCTGATTCCA